TTAATACCGCTTTCTTCAGGATTTTAATTTGCTTTCTTGCTTATCTTAGATCATAGAGGTCCTTCCTTTTTTTGCTTCCAGCACATGCTAGTTGGAGAATCCGACCGTTCACTTTGTAGGCAGATTTTATGAAGTAAGGGTGGCCAAACCCTTTGCTCCAAAATCGCTTTTTAGTCTGCCTGCTTTTGAGTCTCCATACAGTCTTAATTTCCCCTGTGATCAAAGATTCGCTTCTTCTTGGTGTAGACACTGTCCCTTTAAAAATACAGACACCTTTAGAGCCGGTTCCATCCAGTACACCGCTTTAGCCAGCAGAGGGCGGATGATTTTGAGCTGTAGGAAGAGTTTATGATTAGGTCACCTGACCTAACCCTCCGATCTCCTTCTTCCTGAAGGAAGCTTGGATCCCGCCTTCCTCAAAGTCTCCGATTGCCATCTTGGGGGGGGGGGTTACATTTACCGAACAAAGTTGCCAAAATCTCAAAGGTCTGTAAACGCTTATTTTTGAAAAAGTTCTCTGCTGTAGTCTTTCTGTTATAATTCATGCCACTGCATGCTCAGTCCCCCCCATCGTGTTTCCACTTCATTAGATCGTTTAGGGGGTAAGGCGTCCCCTCCCCCCTCCCACTTGTATTGGGGGGGCTTTGCATCAGGGCTTCGATGTCTCGCTTCAACTTTAACTCACTCATCAGTCTTTGGGACGATCCAGCAGGTCTCCCTGGGATCTCGCTGGGCAGCGTTAAATCACCAAACCTCCATATGCTTGTTCTGGTGTGCGCTTTGAGTCCAATACTGGGAATCAGGTCAGGACCTTCGGGGCAGAGAGTAGCCCCCCTGTATCGGCTGAAGGAAGGGCTCTCCAGAAGCCCCCTGGCTAGGAGCCCATTTCATAAGGGCTCCATGGGGAGCGCAAGAGATTGCGCCCCCTCCTATCCTCCAATTCATGGCACACGTCTCTCAGAGCTGTGAGAAGACGTGGCCATCTTTAAAACACCAAAGCCCGGAACCTTCCATCAGTTTTCCAAATGGCCATTTTCAAGGAGCCTGTTACATGAAATGGGAGTAACCATAGAGAAAGCATGGGTCCTCAACAGCACCAGGTGAGCCACCTTAGTGAGAAGCCACCCAGAAGGTGGCAAGCTGAAGACTGTGATAGTCATTAAACCACTCCATTTAATAGGGAATTATAAAAGCTGAAGTCCTGCATGTGCAGTTTTTCTCATACCTAAATAACAAGCACATGTGAAAGTGATCTAGGTGTTCTGGTTGATCACAAGCTAAACATGAGCCTGCAGTGTGATGTGGCTGTGAAGAAAGCTAATGCAATCTTAGGATGCATTAACAGAAGCATTGTGCCCAGATCAAGGGAGATGGTAGTTCTGGTTAGACAGTGTCATAGATGCAACGAACATGAAATTGAGCAAACTTCAGAGGACGGCGGAAGACAGGAAGGCCTGGCGGGATCTGGTCCATGGGGTCGCAAAGAGTCGGACTTGACTGTGCGACTGAACAACAACCACCACCTTTGGTTACATAATTTTAATGCTGATATTTATACTTATATTTTATGTGTCAGATTGCTTAATTATTCAGATTGTAACAGCCTTTGGCTGTTTGTGTGCTTATGTATTTTGTGTGTTTATGTATTTGTGCTATTCTTGCATTCATTAAAAAAACTACACATATAAACAGCACTGTCTTTATGCTTCCTTACGAAGGCGGTGTTAAAAGCAGAACTTCACATAATATTTTTTTGTCTAAATAAAAGTATATCCCCATACATTCCCATTTTCTTTTACCTCCTGGAATTCTGCTGAGGCTCAGATAGTACCCATCATATGTGAGTACTTCATATTCTTCACAAGGATATCCCCAGTACTGGATTTTCTCACTCTGTGGATACAAAAAGAAAATGTTGAGCAAAAATCAACTCTTGGTGGAAACTGCAAGATTGCCTCTGAGAGCTAGTAATTCAGGATAGATGATAAAATGACAATCCTGTGAGTATAGTTTGGTTTCTTGAGGAGTTGTTTGAGGGAAAGAAAGCGAGGTAGAAAGCATGTCAGCTAAAGTGATTATTTTTGTCTAAGCTCAAGTACCACATTCATAAATTGTTCAGGATTCATTTGGGTTTGGGCTTCTCCCAGATTCGCAGTTTCTTGTATAACCAGCATAATGATCCATAGCCACATCCTGTATGATCTGCAAAACAAGTGATATTTTAGATGGGAAAGAGAATAATATTTTATTGTTTTTAAAATGTAAGAACATAAGAGAACCCGGCAGGAACTCATTAGCATAATAGGCCATACCCAACAGCAGGAACTCATTAGCAATTAGGCCACACCCCTGACAGTACAGCTCATTTGCATATTAGGCCACACCCCCACGTTACAAGAAGTGTGGTCATCCAGCCACACCCACCTTTTGCTTCTTATTCTCTTTACCTTGTTTGTTGTCAAAACCCAGGGCTTTTTGCATGTTAGGCCACACACCCCTAATTGCAGCCAATCTGAATGAGTTTCTGCTGTTGGGTGTGGCCTATTATGCTAATGAGTTCCTGCTGGGCGTGGACAACTTGGGAGCCAGCCGGAACTCCGTTCCTGTGCGTTCCTGCCCAAAAATAGCCCTGAGAGAAGCTACTGTTGTATCAGGTCAATGACCCATCCAGTCCAACACTCTGTCACACAGTGGCCAAAAATACCAGTTGCCATCAGGAGGCCCAGCAGTGGGGCCAGGGCACTAGAACCCCTCCCCACTGTTCCCCCCCAGCACCAAAATACAGTGCATCACTTGCCCCAGAGTTCCTATCTATACCTTGTGGCTAATAGCCACTGGTGGACCTCTGCTCCATATGTTTATCTAATTCCCTCTTGAAGCCATCCATGCTTATAGCCGCCACCACCTCCTGTGGCAGTGAATTCCATGTGTTAATCACTCTTTGGGTGAAGAAGTACTTCCTTTTATCTGTTCTAACCTGACTGCTCAGCAATTTCATTGAGTGCCCACAAGTTCTTGTATTGTGAGAAAGAGAGAAAAGTACTTCTTTCTCTACCTGCTCTATCCCATGCATAATCTTATAAACCTTGATCATGTCACCCCTCAGCTGTCATTTCTCCAAGCTAAAGAGCCCCAAGCATTTTAACGTTTCTTCATAGGGAAAGTGTTCCAACACTTTTATCATTCTAGTTGCCCTTTTCTGCACTTTTTCCAATGCTATAATATCTTTTTTGAGGTGTGGTGACCAAAACTGTACACAGTACTCCAAATGAGGTTGCACCATCGATTTATACAGGAGCATTATGATACTGGCTGATTTGTTTTCAATTCCCTTCCTAATAATCCCCAGCATAGCGTTGGCCTTTTTAATTGCCATAGCACCCTGTCTCATTGAGTTGTCTACTACAACTCTTGGGTCAGTCTCTGTCAGTTCAGACCCCATCAACATGTATTTATAGTTAGGATTTTTGGCTCCAATGTGCATCACTTTGCACTTGGCCACACTGAACCCCATTTGCCACATTGATTCCCACTCGCCCATCCTCGACAGATCCCTTTGGAGTGTCTCACAATCCTCCCTGGTTCTCACCACCCTGAACAACTTCGTGTCATCCGCAAATTTAACCACTTCACTGCTTACTCCCAACTCCAAATCATTAATAAACAAGTTAAAAAGCATCGGACCCAGTACTGATCCCTGTTGTACCCCACTGCTTACCACCCTCCACTGAGAAAATTGCCCATTTATACTCACTCTCTGTTTCCTGTGAACCACTAATAATGGGGCGGAAGTAGCTGTCCAACTTCTCAGCTGGCAGCACCTAAAGAGAAAAAAAGCTGCCTGAGGAAGACAGAGAACGAAACCAGTTTGAAGCCAGTTTGGTGTAGTGGTTAAGTGCGTGGACTCTAATCTGGGAGAACCAGGTTTGATTCCCCACTCCTCCACTTGCACCTGCTAGATGACCTTGGGCAAGCAGTAGTTCTGTCAGAGGTGTTCTTTTTATTTATCATTACATTTATATCCCACCCTCCCTGCGAACGGGCTCAGGGCGGCTTACAAATAAGGGCAGCATGTGCCAGTAAAACAATAAAATCACACATAAAAACAACCATTATCAACAATAATAAAGTGCTGAGAACTTCCGGGTTAACGGCTCCTGAGCCCACTCGTCCTTTTTTGCTTTTTCTTGGAGTTCCCTGGTCCGTGAGACCCTGCGGGGACTCACCCAAGCTCTCAGAGGGAGCTTGGGCAGCAAGAGACTTTTTTCGGCCACCCCATGGACAGCAGTTTGCGGTGGTGAGAGTGATTTGTCTCGATACAGAAGCAGGAAATGGAGCAGAACATGGCTGTCATGTTCTGCATTAGTCATGACCACCCATTTCAGAATTTCTTTTTTTTTTTACAATTCAACAGCAACAGTATTGTGAGTACACGTATATCTGGATATAAATGGTGATGACCCCCAAAATGCTCCCCTACAGTTATCTCCAATTTTGAAAGTAAAAACGGCTAAGGAAAGAGAAGGAGTAAAGATTAGAAAATGGTGGTAGAAGGGGAAATTAAGGGACTTGCAACAGAGGAAACCGAATGGGACTTAGAAAATACAGAAATTGGTTCTTTAGTAAAAGGCGAACGATTTATGCAATCTGAAACTATGGAAATGGGTCCATAGTCTGATGGAGAA